CAACCCACAGTTGGCTAACCCCCCCCCCCATCTTGACACTAATAGGCTGTAAGGAGTCATCAAACACACTTCATTCAAACTCAAAAACAAGCAAGTGATGTGTGCAGGCAATCGGCCCAACGTCGTAGTGTAAGAAGCGTCATAAGCGCTGAGTAATATCAATTCTGAAAACCCAGAATAAACTTAAGGAGACCCAACTAAATATGCACATTTAATAAGGAGCCCTGGAGTGGCCACTAAAATATATATTTATTCAGGCCACAATTTACTCATTTCTAAATTGAATTGAATCATTCTCAAGTTTTGATTTATTTGTGTTGACAAGTTATGATCCGTGGAATGAATTTATTTAAATGTTCCCATGTTAGGCCTGTAAATAATTAAACAGGCCTAATTTTGGCAGTGCGCAAGGCCAAGTCATCCATTCCAGCTGCCAACTGCTTGCACTTGTCCTTGGTAGTAGATAGCTATGGACAGAGACTCTTTAATGAAGCTTTACTTTATCTTGGGGATAAGTTATGAATACATGTTGACAACTGTTGCATTGCAAGGGACTGTTGTTAGTAAAAGGCAATTAGTGTTTCCCATTAATTACCACAGATCGTCACAAGTTTTGTAATCAACAGCAAATGTTTTTAGACTTCTCAGCGGGTGGAGTCCATGTTGTCCGTCAGGTTCGACTGCTCGGTGTTGGAGGATCTCCTCACGTGACCTCTCCCCTGCGCTGGCTGCCACTTGTCAGGTGCATTTCCTCTGTGGCGGCCGCCGTGACCGGGGCTAGGCTGGCTTCGCAATGCCCAGGGTGAAGGTGTCTAGCGTTTTCGGCCATAAGCTTTACAGCACCCACAACATTTTTACAAGAGCACAAAGTTTCTACAGGGTTCCCAATCGTCCTGGAAAACAGTTGACCAACTTTTACAGTCATGGAAAACATGGAAAATGAGAGAAAAAGTAAAATATCCTGGAAAATCTTGTGTTGTCCTGTCAACATTCTCTTATTTTCCAATGAACTATTATTCTATTCCTCAGAGCTCCCCAAAACGGATAACAATTCTATCTGAAAGGACTAAGTTACATCCAGGATCACATTAACGTTCAAATGGTAGTTTGTAGACGAGAATTGGAATGGGCTGCTCTTGATCATGTTGTGGAAACACTGTGAGCACCCCCCCTCCCCCACCCTAGCACATACAGGTTAGATGACATTACAACTTCAGTGGTCAAAACTCCGGGCTGGACGGCCATTCTGTGTGAGTTTGCATGTTCTCCGGCTTCCTCCCACAGTCCAAAGGCATGCAGCTTCGGTTGATTGATGACTCTAAATATCCGCAGGTGTGAATATGAGCGTGAATAGTTGTCTCTATGTGTCAGCCGGTGTCCAGGGTGTTCCCTGCCTTCTCCCAATGTCAGCTGGGACCGGCTCCAGCACCCCCGCGACCCTGAACAGGATACGCGGTAGAAGATAATGGATGGATGGACACTGTCCTTGAAATTCAACCATTAGTCATTGCTGGCTGGTAACTCTGGTAGTTTTTATTGCTGTATTATTTTATGATCAATTTATCATAACTCCTAAGCACAAAAGAGATGATTTCATAGATAAGTTACAGCCGTAGCACGTCTTTTAAATCGGACTTCCACAGAGAGGAACATATTAGTGTCTTGCGAGAATCATAACCAATAAAAATACTGATATAAATTCAAAATCAATGGTGGATTCTCTACATTCTCTTACCTCACTTCATGAGTGGCACACAGCTGAACTTGATGTGTACACATGGATCATCATAGCAACGTGCAAGGAAAGGTTTTCGCTAACAGGGACTGATACCGCGTGGTGGAAAATGATTTGACCCGCTGTTGAGTCTTTTTAAGCTGTCAAACAGAATTTGTCTTTTAAATAATTTAGTCTTACAAGAAAAGGCAGAGTTATACAGAGCCACATAGAGTCTGAAGAAGTGCTCGCTCCAGAGATAAAGTCATACAGAGTTATGTAGCGGGGGATCAAGGGTGGAGGCCTGTATACTGGAACATCCTGCTCCAGGCCGTGAAGGCCATGGAAGTAAAATAAGTGCTTTATCTGTGTAACAACAAACACAGATTTAAATATGTTTTCTCCGTAAGGCATAGAACATGTGCACATACAATAAGTACTTATTCAACAGCAGGAACAAGAGGATATGTGTGCAGGCAGTCAGCTGCTGCATGGATCACAAGTTTTAAAACAGTTTTACTCATAAGAATATCAAATGTCCATTACACAACAGCAAGATACTTTTGAGCACTTATGCTAACACAAAGCGTGAAGGTCTGCTGAGTTCAGAGCAAAGGTTCAAGCACTTAAGCATTTACACAATATACTTAAGTAGAAATATATACAGAGGTGAAATGTTCCATTACAAACGTTAATACTGATCCTTTTGTTTAGGCTCATAAGAGGCTGTCACCAGCTGGGCTCAGTTGAGGCTCCGGCAGAACTCTTTACACCACGATGTGCTGATGAGCTGTCTGATTCAAGGAGACTTGACTGCATTGTTTGTGTCCTCAGGGTGAGAAAGGAGACATGGGACTGCCTGGGCCCCCTGGAGGTGATAGCATGAAGGTAGGAGCTGCCAAGAGTTATCGTCTTAATATGGAGAAGATTATGAAACATTATGTCTGCAAGACAAAACATAATGATGACATTCCGGTGGTAACTGTGTCTGTAGGTGTGAAGGTAAAGCAACCCATAATGTTCATATCATTACTGTGCCAATGATTACAGTGCAGACGTGTGGAAGCAGGAAATGAGGATGTGAAAGTCCTGTGTGATGAAAGCTGTTTCACATCAAACTGACTCGATCTGATAGTGAGACGTTGGGTGGTGCTTGTTCTTTTTACTTGCAGGATTTCTGATCCAAAAAAGGTCATTTTCATTTTTGAACAGAGAGAAAATTGTAGCAGGATGTAGTGTTGAAGGTCTGACTCAGGTCTGTGTCATTCTCTTTTTCTTCCCGTCTATTTCAGGGTACTCGTGGTCTTGTTGGGTTACCTGGTCCACTGGGCCTGATAGGAGAGCAGGTACACAAAACTAATATCGTAGTTTGTTTGCTTATCTTCTAATGTTCCCTCTTGTGTTTTGATGATGGAAGTTTTACTTCAATTGAATATGTTTTTATGATGTCCAACTCTCTATCGCTCTCTTTAGGGAAACATTGGTCTACCAGGACCGAGGGGAACAACAGGGATGCCAGGACTGCCTGTAAGCTTCATGTCAGAATTCAGCAGGACATCCTACATCTTTAAATTCACTTCGCAAAGCACACAAACACATAGCTCATCGAACACATTTTATGAATCATGCTTTCTTTTGTTGCTGGCTGTTATATCCCTCTTCAACTGTGTTAATAAGTATCATTTTAGTTTTTCAGTTTTGCTTCTACGTTGTTCATGTTGTTGCTTTCTTTTATGGAAAGAATGGAATTAAATATACAACTGTGTTTGGACCTCCCTTTGGATATCCAACTTTTATTCAGTCTATGCTTTTTTTTTCTTCTTTTTTGATATTTTATAGTTTGAATTCCAGCAGTTAATTTGTCATTGAGATACTTTATCCAGATTGTGTCTGAAAAATGGAGTTCAGAAGTGGGATTGTTTTATAAGAACCCAGGCACACTGTTATCTGTCAGCCAAGTAATCTTTCCTTCAGCTGCCAGTCGGCTGAATCATTCACAGTTCACCTGCACATCATCATGGTGTTCAGCACACTGTGTGTCGGGGGTCCATTGACTTAATGTGTGAAGCTGTGGCTGATGAGTTCTTAAGGCAGCAGATAAAAACACTCGGCACGCAGCTCTTAGTCGATAAATGCACTTCACAGTGGGAAAATCATTCTAATGCCCTTTTCTCCCGTTCCCTCCTCTGTTGCAGGGTTTGTTTGGATTGAAGGTAAGATATCATCAACTCAAGCTCTCTCTTACTGACAGGTCAAACTCACTTAGGCTCTTATACCGTTATCTGAAGCGCTGAATGGTTTGGTTTATTTTGATGGCACTTAAAATCATAAAGCTGTCACACTGAATGTAATGGGATTTCTTTATTTCCATATCGATGTGTTCTGTAGTCAATGGTGTGGTGTTGCCACACTGAACAGCGCTGAATCGTATGTGTATATTGTGCTTATCATATTTTCTTCTACCTGCAGGGTTTGAAAGGCTACCAGGGTTTCCCTGGTCTGCCCGGCAGGAGGGGGCTCCCAGTAAGTTTACAACAGAGGATGGAACTCACTCTCTAGTGAAGATTGATGTGACAAATATTGTTCTTATAATATTAATATAAACTTAATTTACACTAGATGTCATACATCCAAAATGTTTACATTTATACAAATGTATACAGAAATTAAATTTAATCAGTTTAATTAGATATGAGATTATCAAGTGTGCATACTTGTTGTCTGTCTGGCCGTTTGCTTAGTTTATAACTTGCCTTGGTTTTATCTGACATTAGCTTAACATTCAGGGCCTTTTTACAGTTCTTACTTGTTGGACACCACAATGTTTGATATGAGAAAACTGTCCGAATGTGAAAGAACTTCAGACAGCTTAAGGCTTTCATCTCGCTGCCTCTCATCAATCAGTTGTTCGATGAGTTTTATATTTGTCAGTGTACAGTGTGTTTTAAGAGCCATGACAAAAGACGTTTTTTCTCTTTACATTTCTATCTTTGTGATGGATAACAAAACTTTAACTTTCTCAATTCCAATATTGATTATCTTGTAGTGTATACCCAATATGTGCATCTTCCTTGTGTTTTAGGGCCCACCTGGGGTCCCTGGACCACCGGGACAGTCACTGAACATGACGTTGACCCAGCTCAAGGCATGTGATTTATATTATATTGTCCTATTAAAGTATTTTACAACTACAAAAGCATTTATCATAAGAGCATTTGGGATGTGTCTTGACCACAATGCAATCCAAGTGACTCTTTGTTATTCTTTTTTCCATGTCCAGGACCTGATGTATGTGTCCGATAAGCCCAACTACCCTCTGATCCAGACTCTGCTGGATTCTGTGCAGCAGGAGCTTTGGCTGATGCTGGACCCTCCTGATGGCAGCAAGGAGCATCCTGCCACCACATGCATGGAGCTCTGGATCTGTCACCCCGAATACAGCAGCGGTCAGTTCCCTAAATAGTGAAATAACAGTAAATTTCAAATGTTTCAACTGGAAATTGAAATTAAAACACATTCAATATGCATAAGAAAAAAGTGGCTTTTTTCATGGGTACTGTGGAGCTTTTACTGAGACTTGGCTTACAGTCCCCAAGAGCTGGCGTCAAGGGTCAAATCTGTCTGTCCTGAACAAAAGCAACCAGCTAAATAGGATTTTTTTTATTCTCAGCAGCATCTTAAATTACACGGATAAACAGCTTTGTTAAGAAAATAGTTATGTACTTTTTTGAAAAATTATATATTATATTATATATGTTATATTTCAAATTTGGATAGTACAGTCCTGTGTGTTGGAGGTGTTTGTGCTTCAAGCATTGCTGGTCTTTCTGTCAGCGTGGACCTCAGCTGTTTTCCTCCCTGCATATGTCATTGAACTCTCGCTAACCTTTCCCTGCAGGAATGTATTACATCGACCCCAACCAGGGCAGCACAGCGGACGCTCTGCTGGCTTACTGCAGCTTCTCCTCCACATCAAAACAGACCTGCCTTCATCCTCGAGACTCTCAGGTATGAGGACATCGCCTGAAAGAAAGGCTACGGGAAATTGCACCTCTGGATCAATGGCGTTCACGCTAACTTCACTTAACCCTGTTGTACCGCCAGAATCTCAATTTGACGATTGTCAGTCAGCTCACCCATTCGTAGTGACGACAGACATCTGATGACTTGACCGTGAGCTTGTGACTCTGTCACGGTGAAGGAACATTCAAAATCTTGTTTCGGTAGTTTGGACATGATCCATACAGTATCAGTTATGATAGAACATAATATTTGATTCACTGACTGCATTGCTGAGAGTCACTGCCTGTACCACACACACACACACACACACACTTCCACCCGACAGTTTCTTTGCCTTCAAACTGTTACCAGAGCATTGCTATAAAGGATACAACACATCAATGCTAGTTATTACAAAACTGAAAAAGAGGAGTCTGACCAAAGGTATGGTAAAAATTAATTAATGTTAGTATAGAACAGAAAAGCTGTAGTCAAACTATTTACATTGTCCCTTAATCCAGACAGAATTTATTTTAAATGCCTTTCTTTTTGTTTAGTGTTTTTCGCCTCCCTTTCTATTTTTAATGTGATTCAGTGTCATTCATGTTTGCCTCCTTTCTTTGATCTTATTCCGTGAGAATTTAGACTCTATTTAGAGAGTATTACACATTTGAGTGTGAAGTGAGAAGTACCACATTCTTCCTCTTTCAAATGAAAATTTAAATTCATAAGCAATAAAACAAGTCATTGCTCAACTAAATACACTCTGTCGCTGCCGCCCTACTTGGGTTAGCTAACTTAAGATGGACAGATGGCGCTTCGTAATGTTGCAACTGTGCAAAGCATAACTGTGCTGTCATGTTTGCGAAGGACTTCTTTTCTGTACTGCAGTCTATATGAAAACACAACATGCACCTCACACCCTCTCAACTCTAATGCAGTCAGCGCTATATACTCACTCAGGCAAAAAAATAATATGAATCTGTTTCGGATAGCGTGAAGTGAATGCAAAGCTCACCAAGGTAGCCAATTTACCTCTGGTTGATGCTTGAGCTGCATGCTAATCCAGAGCTCATCAGCAGCTGTCTGATCGTTGACCTTCACAAGTATCTTATATGAAAGCAGGACTTGAATTCAGATTTACAAATGTGTCTTCTTTTCTCTGCCTGCAGTTGCCCATGAAAGCCTGGATGGAAGAACTTTCTGATGAGGGATCCTTTCAGTGGCTCAGCAGGCTGGATCAGGGGTTTCAGGTGAAGGGAGCAGCCACGACTAAACATTCACCCAGATGTGGACATTTAGGGGGCAGTAGAAATCTACTACAACCAGAAAGACTCTAAAGGATCATTAACACATTCTGGGACGAATTCACAAAAGGATTACACAGCTGCTCGACCAGCACAAATAAGACTAAGAGAAACCATGTCCTTCTCAAAGCACCCACAAAGGGTGAAATGTGTTATTTGGACATATTTAAATGAGGTAACAGGCATACATTCAGTGAAAAATCCTTTGGATGCAAATGAGCATCATTGCAAAAATAGTCTAAGCCTAATAGCCTCATGCAGTTACAGTGAAATTATTAGCGTCTTCAGAGAGTTGCTTGTAACTGAAGTGCATTGTCTTGTTAAGTGGGTAGTTTGCGAGACTGCATTGAGACCTTTCACATTTGAAACAAGCTGTCACGATCAGGCTTTGCCCTGTGTGTTCTGTGTCTTTGTTTCTTTCTGTAACTCCTCACTCACCTAATCAGTTCATTCAGTGCACCTGCCAGTCACACTCAGCTCATTACTCTCACCTGCTCACTCTGCCTCTTCACTATTTAAACCCCTGCTGCACACACACCCACTGCCAGATCATTGTTTGTTTTCCGACCTACCCGCCCGTTTTGCTCGTCCTGTTCCCGGGTTTCCAGTCTGCCTGTTCTGCCTTTTCCTGCCTTTTCCTGCCGTATTTTCCCCCTCGTCTTTTGTCTTGTCCCTGGATTCCCTGTTTGTTTTTGGTTATCATTAAAACCTTTTTTCATTACACCTGACTGTCTGTGTTTGAGTCCTCACCATGCCCCGTGACAGAATGATCTGGCCAAAGATGGACTCAGCAGACCACGGTATGGAGTGTCGTCTCCCCGACTGGTATGAACAGTTCATGGGAACCCGTCTGGCCTTTGGAGAACCTCGAAGTGTCCAGAAGGCAGACCGTGACCTAATGGACATCCCGGTCAAACCTCGAAGGAGGCAGAGGAAGGGCCAGACTCCCTCTCCCGCTGGGCCGCAGTTATCCCCCGCTCCCGCTGGGCCGCAGCCGACTCCAGCTCCCCGTGTCAGGTCGGTGGTTCGACTGACTCCAGCTCCCTGTGTCCGGTCGGCGATCCAGTCGACTCCAGCTGTCGCCTCAGAGCGGCAGCTATCCCCGGATCCGGCCGCCCCCGTCTTGGAGCAGCAGCTACCTCCAGTCCGGGCCACCGCCGTCTCGGAACCGCAGCTACCTCCAGTCCGGGCCGCCGCCGTCTCGGAACCGCAGCTACCTCCAGTCCGGGCCGCCGCCGTCTCGGAATCGCAGCGACCTCCAGTCCCGGCCGCCGCCGTCTCCGAACCGCAGCGCCCTCCCGTCCCGGCCGCCGCTGCCGTCTCCGCGCTGCAACGCCCTCCGGCCACCGCCGTCTCCGAACAGCAGCGATCTCCAGTCCTGGCCTCTGCCGCCTCCGTGCTGCAACGACCTCCAGCCCTTTACCCCGCTGGGTCATCAGTCTATCCCCCTGAGCCCCAGTCTATGGACTCCGGTTGCCCGGAGCCCCATCTCCAGCCCCTGGAGACCTGTTCCCCATCTGATCTCCAGCCCCTGGAGACCTGTTCCCCGTCTGATCTCCAGCCCCTGGAGACCTGTTCCCCGTCCTGATCTCCAGCCCCTGGAGACCTGTTCCCCGTCCTGATCTCCAGCCCCTGGAGACCTGTTCCCCGTCCTGGTCTCCAGCCCCTGGAGACCTGTTCCCCGTCCTGGTCTCCAGCCCCTGGAGACCTGTTCCCCGTCCTGGTCCCCAGCCCCTGGAGTTCCGTCCCCCGTCCTGGTCCCCAGCCTCTGGAGTTCCGTCCCCCGTCCTGGTCCCCAGCCTCTGGAGTTCCGTCCCCCGTCCTGGTCCCCAGCCTCTGGAGTTCCGTCCCCCCTCCTGGTCCCCAGCCTCTGGAGTTCCGTCCCCCCTCCTGGTCCCCAGCCTCTCGAGTTCTGTCCTCCGGACCCCCTCCACCCACCCGGTTGTGGGCTCTGACTCTCGGCCTCAGAGGAGTTATAACCCTCCTCCGGGCCCCCACCGCCCTCCCTTGGAAGATGTTCATGTTTTTGTTTTTTTTGGACGTCTGGAATCCGTCCCTTGGAGGGGGGGTACTGTCACGATCAGGCTTTGCCCTGTGTGTTCTGTGTTTTTGTTTCTTTCTGTAGCTCCTCACTCACCTAATCAGTTCATTCAGTGCACCTGCCAGTCACACTCAGCTCATTACTCTCACCTGCTCACTCTGCCTCTTCACTATTTAACCCCCTGCTGCACACACACCCACTGCCAGATCATTGTTTGTTTTCCCACCTACCCGCCCGTTTTGCTCGTCCTGTTCCCGGGTTTCCAGTCTGCCTGTTCTGCCTTTTCCTGCCGGATTTTCCCCCTCGTCTTTTGTCTTGTCCCTGGATTCCCTGTTTGTTTTTGGTTATCATTAAAACCTTTTTCACTACACCTGACACTCTGCGTTTGAGTCCTCACCATGCCCCGTGACACAAGCTGGAGAGAAAATCATTTTTCTAGTCTAGTTTCTTGTCATATCGTTTATGGTTTGATGTATTTTTTCACTCACTTAGTTTGTTCTTACCTTTTTAATATTGTTGCTGCTGACATTGTTAATGCATTACATTCTTATTCCTATCTTACCAGTTTTACTATCCAGGTGCTAATGTGGTCCAGATGCGTTTTCTAAAGCTGCACAGTAGCTCTGCCGTCCAGAACATGACCTTCTCCTGCCACCCGGGACACAGACTGGGCCAGACAGACAGAGACATCAAATTCCTCACTGACACAAGGAAGCAAAGCTTCCTCGGAGCACTTAAAGACTGCGTGGTGCGTAAAATGTTCTCAAAGTTTTTAATGTTGGATAGAAGAACTCAACATTCCTTGACCTGGTGTAGAAGGAGCTGTAACGCTCTTGTAAAGATTTGAAGGCAAATGCATCATCATCAGTGGTGCCCGGGTCAGCTTATTACTCACCCGACCCGCAAAAATATACGCTTCACTCAGCACTCCCATTATAACTTTCAGTATTTGTGTTACAACTGCAATTTAAGAGGATTCAACTGGAAATTCAAATTGCCAATGGCCGAGTTAAAAATGCTTAAGAGAGTGCCCTTTCCAGGGGCACTGCCAACATATCCCAAGAGCTGGTGCCAAGTGTCGAATCCGTCCTGAACAACAGCAGCCACTAAAACAGGATGTTTTTTATTCTCAGCAGCATCTTAAATCACATGGATAAACAGCTTTGGAAGGCTAGTCAACTTAAATTGAAAATCTTGGTCGAGCTGCCAAAGGTGTCTCGTTGGGATGTCGGATGAATTTTAAACAAAATGATGCGCAGGTCAGGGTATTTGAACATCCTCCACACCCAGCCGACCTGATAGGAGAGCCAACCTGCACCTCCAAAACCACAAAGATATGCATTGATAAATCGGGTGAAAACAGAGGCGTTTATTGCCACTTGAGGCTTTCTATAGCAAACCGCCCTCTTAATGCATTATAGTAGCACAATTGTCAGGACTGAGGTCTGAGCCAAGGACAGAGACGAGCAGATTTGTGTGTGTGTGTACGACTTATTTGGAATGCTGCTTCAACCCGCAGGTCAGTTGTGTTGACGGAATATTAATGAAATACAAAATAATCAAGAGTTGCTGTCCCAGTTAAGACAAATTCTGCTGCAGTATTGTCGGGGGGGGGGAGTGATTCTTCGCTGTTAAATGACAAATAATTGATGTGTTCTGTTTCCTGTTTGTCAGCCTGGAGAAGAGACCGTTTCTGGACCTCGGGAGTCTGTCTTTGAATTTGAGGACCTCCAGCTGCTTCCTCTGAGAGACGTAGCTCTGATGGGAGGCGGTAACGTCACACACCAGTTTGGCTTCACTGTTGGACCCGTGTGTTTCAGCTAGAGGTGCTACAAAGCTGTGCCGTCCCAGGACACAAACCTCTGTTCAAATCATGGACACCTAGAGGGACAACTGGAACATCTCTTCCCATTTCTGAAGATGTTGCTTCCTTTTCCTCTTGTTTTGGGGGATCTCTCAATTTGAGTGACTATGATATTCATGAATTTGAGAGGACACAAGCGTGTCCCTGGGCTTTTTTTCACAGAGAAGTCAATTTTGTTTACAGAGACGTTTATCTTGTATTGAATAATTTAAAAATGTATTTTTTTTTTTTTTATCCTTTTATATACAATGTTTTTTTTGCCTCCGTTTGATTTATGTGAGTTGTGTATTTTGGGCTTCAGTCATAGCCTGCCCACAGTGTGTGTATATATAAGCCAGACTGTCCTAACTGACCTCCTAACAATATGTTCTGCATGGAGTCACAGTTGCTGTGGTCCCATTGGCCGAGTGTGACCAGGCCAGTAAAATCTCACTGTAAGGCCTCGGCTACAGTACTGTCAGTGACCTCAGATGTGTCACTTTTCTCAAGGTGCTGATCACGTTTCATTTAAAAGATTTCTTTAATCCCCAAAACAATGGAAGAGGACATTCACATTGTCTCATGCGTACTTGATGCTGTCTGTGGTCAACAGCAAATTTCCTCATTTTGATAAAACATAGTTTGCGTTTTTTACAGTTTCATGTAATTGTATGGGGTACTTATTTTTTACGTCTCAGGTATGATACACTAATGATATACACATGGACACTGAAGCTGCTATCTTTTGTAGTTTAGCATTAAAACAAGTCCAACATTAAAAGACCAAAACAACACTGAATTAGTTCTACCAACCTGATATCACCTTTTCCTCTGAGCTCCTTTATTGTCCAAAAAATGTTAACACATCAGCGAGCCACACGGTTGCAATGGGTGACATCTTGCTTTATTACCATGAACACACACATTTATTTTGACTGAATCCCACACACACCACCCTGCTGATGGAAATACTCCCCAGAGCAACAAATTGATTAATCCGCAGCTGAAAATAGTCCCCAACAAACGCACTATTTCTTCCTGTTTGAGTGATGTTTGCTAAAAATGTATAGTGCCGAATGTTTTATGAAATCACTGGGCCATTTAAAAGATTAAGCTTTATATCATGAGCTGTATTTAAAGATTTACATGTTCAGGTTCCAACCAATGAGCTTGGAAATGAGAGACTAAATCATTGTTGGTTTTGCTCTTTTCAAAATGATTTGTGGACAAAAACACCGGCCTTATCCTTTAAAGTTGTGAATTCCTGCACACTGTTATCAAAAAACACTTAAAAGAAGTTTCAGTCGTTGATATTCATTAAGGTTTAAAAAAACAGTAGAATAAGCAACATATTTATAATACCACCAACCGATCACACCTGATACGATAATTCCGGCAAGTTTCAACAATCCATCAAAATACAAAGAGATTAATAAATGCATCTTGTTGGAAAAAGAATGCAATGAAATCCTGATATCGGGGGAAATGGGAGGAGAGTATTGCCTTTCAAACAAAAACTGTCATGACCTCTGATTATCAAGCTTCTATTTTCCCCATTTCCCGGCAGGTCTCTGACATAAACGTTGCTGCTGGTTTATACATTTTGTGCTGACTGTACAAAGTTTACCACATTTTAATTAGATTTTAATTCTGCTACGCACCTGTCTAACAGGTTTACATTAGACTATTTACGGTTTTGACATTAGAAATGTGTTCTTGTCATGCAAACCAAAGACTGAAGTTAAGCAGCTCAGAGCTTAAAGATCGACCTACGTCCTCCCAGAACAATACTGTAACTTCTTTCACTGTACTGTAAAGAATCATGCATATGTTTGGTGCAAGAGTAGCACCCCTGGCCCTGCAGAGCTTTAATGGCCCCATGGTGAAAAAAAAGAAAAGGTGCCGATTACCACCCACTTAGCATTGAGTAATTGCTGTCAACCTGAATTTCTGCTTCATTCAATCTGAGAAATGCTTGGGTCCAGAGAAAAACAGCACGCCTTGCATCCTCTCAGCAGAATCAGGATTTGGTGTGTGTGTGTCCCAGAGTTGGTCAGCAGTGAGCAATAAGAGGTGTGCACTATCTGCGGTGACTACAGGAGAAATCTCAGGATCTCAGGGAGTTTGTGGTCTTTGGGTTTGGCCAAAACAGCTGCTCTGCAACGGCAAAACACCGAAACTTCTTTTGCATGATTGTACCATATTCTCAGCTGTGGAGAATCAGAGGACCTGACAAGGCTGAGGCGTGCCACCGCTAAATAACAGGGAAGAAATGTACTTATTCTTGATCTCAACCAGACAAATTGGATTGGATTAAGATTGAAGCATTTCAGCCACCGGATTGCAATTCCCGCCTGGTGTTTAATATTTCATGTTTTCTTTTTATATTTAGATTCGTCATATCATCATTCCATATGATAGCCTTAGCTGGCTGAGACTGATCATTGTTAGTTGTTTTGTACAAAGTATCATTTTTGAAATAGCTGAGATGACATGCTGGACATCCGTCTTGTGTGATCCCACCATCGGCTCATTCAAAGAATTGTGTCGGCTGAATAAAGAAAAATACATAACCAAATATTGACTCAGTGTATTTAATCAGAATTAGTTTAGCAATGATTTTTATTGGAATTAAGTTCTGACCTGATGGCGAACATCTCAATATGTTGCACAAAATATTGACCTGCTGTTGGTGATAGATGAAAAGTCAGAGGAGCATCAAAGTCAGCAGGATGCAGTCAGGAAACTGTGAGGATATTATTTCTAATGTGCAGAGGTTGGAAAAAAATTAAGTATTCTTCTAATCATTGATTATAGGTAGACGATTAGTTCATTTTGTATTTTCATGTATTTATTTACGTGGGTTGTTCCTGTTTTTTCATGCTTATCTGTAATTAATTCTTAGGAAAAGTCTAGGAAAAGATTATGTGATCTGGTCCTAATTGTTGGGGAAATGTAGACAATGTTCAAATATCACACTTTCAGTAGATTGATTCCATTTAAGTGACAGTGTAACCTAGAGTAGCCTATTTCAGTCTGCTGAACATGCAAAATAAGATTTGTCTACAGGCAAGGATGCCAATTAACATGAGAAATAGTTTCCAATTCTATTAATATGTACATGTGTGTGAATGGGGCTCGACATATAAGGGTTTATAAAGAGGCTTTTTGAATTAAGTGAAACAAAGTTGTGTTAATATCTCAGCTGTGTACACAGTGGTGAATTGGGGTTGTTAAGGGTTAACGCTCGAGCCGTCACAGCACGTGCACACGTCACCTCTCTTCCGCATCTGTCTGTGTTCACTCGCTAACATTAGCCATGTTCCCCCCCGGTTTCATTTGCTTGACATTTCATGCAACAGTCGGTCGTCGTGCGTGACAGTCGGACGGACGTTTGTGTTGCATGTTGGTTCTTCTGACTGCGGAACAGTTTCACTTTCCCTTCAGAAACACGCCGGAAATAACGAACAAGCTAGCCTGTCGTAGCTAGCCAACAGCTTTCAGGAGAATAACGTCGCTGTGAAGCAACCGACCAGGCACAAAGGTGAGGGGGAGGCAGCTCAGAGTGGGACTTTTCTTTTTACTGATTGTGTCTGTGGGTTCAAACAGCATGTCAGTGACGTGTGGAAGGCTGGGAGGAAGGTAACACATTAGCTTACTTAGCTGAAATAGCTGGTTGCTGTTATTGAGTAATGCAAGCTAGTTATTTAGTCTAGCGTTACAGCAGCTGTCTTGCCTTTTTGAGTACATGCTTAAAATAATAATTATGTCAGCTGTATTTTAGATAAGAGACGGAACAGCCCATGCTTTATCAATCTCAGAATGATAGTCCATTTCATTCAGTTCAATCATTCTTGCAAAGACTACGTGACCACTTAAAGGGGCGTCACTGTTCTAGTCAGCCCTGTTTCCCGCTAACAATCGATATTAGTAGTTAAGACGTGTCCTAAAAGTCACATTTAGTGTATTACGAATATTGCACCTCCTGCGATATGAAAGTTGCAGTGGGTCGTATTGCAATTTTGCTAAAATTTCGAAATGGAGATATCTTTAGAGCTATAGGCAACTCACACACAGTCATCGTTGTGATGGTTGTATGCTGCACATTGTGTCAAGGCAATTGAAGAGTCAAAGGATGCAATACACACCGTTTAATCTGTGGAGATATGAATAACCGATATGATCATGAAGATAGTCATCATGTGATTTTTCTCTCGATCGCTTATTTAACCTTTTCTTTCAGTGCTATGCCGGCATGGACCCTACTTTCATATTTTAATATTAAAGGAAGTGGTCATAGTTAAGCTAACTGTGTTGTTTACTTCTCTGCAGCATCTATGAGCTGAGTTTGTCTGACCGGATCAGAGGATGTATCCGCCTTCCAGAAAGGACTTCATCTCTCTGACACTCAGTGATTCCCACAACAACACTTACAACAACGGCAAACACCGGAGACAGTCCTGCTGGAGGGTGAGTGGTCTCGTGGTGCGGTGTGCAGATCACGGCTCTAGACGGATTCACCATTTGGACACACAAGCCCTGTGTCTGATGCAAGATCATGAGCTTATGTTCAACTTATGTGTGAAAGATACATACCTGCAGGTCCATACACATCACTGCAATACCACAGAGTTATAGTTGACGGCAGTGGTGGAAGACGTGGATAACGTCATTTTATACCATGATACTGTTTGGAGAGAGTTCACTGAATGGTTTAAAGAGTATGAAAATGAGGTGAGTCGTGTGCTTTGGCATTCAGTCACCTGATCTTAAGCTAACTGCACACCGATGGTGGATTTTGGAGGCTTATGTTAAATAGTTCACCACCATCATCAAAATACCAAATGAAGTGAATACCTTTTTAAATGACTGCAGTAGAGACTTGCAAATACCTTAGAAATCATGATACTTTATCTATCGATGTAGCAACATTTGCAGTAATATCCATAATGGCCTAATATGATACAACCAGAGATATTAT